GCCGGGCCTGCGTGACATCGGGTCGTTCCTTGCGACTTTTCAGGTGCTCGGAAAAGCCGTGGGAAAACCACTTTCGTGGTCTGTGGACCAGATTTTGTTCCCGATAATGTGCGCTACAGGCTCCCTGAGCCGACGATCGACCATGCACTTGAACAACTGCGTGAAAGGTTACGTGGAGAGAAGATTGAGATTCAGATCGAAAGTGACGGGGAAAGTGGTGATTCAGATGACTATGTGGTGGCAATTGAGACTATAGGTGCCTACACCAGAGAGCAGGTGGAAAACATGAAGTGGTTGTGGAACTTGCAGACCACGTGCCAACGTGACGTTGCATTATGCACTTGGCTTAATAACGAGGTGAAACAACTTGTGGACGAAACACCTCCAGTGGTTGCTGCAGCTGATGAAATTCTGAATACCTGGCCATACAAAACTTTGCCAGGTTTTGAAATTGACATCACAATGGCCGACATCTATTGTGTTTGAATGTCCATGTGGCTCAACGATGGCGCCATGCACGCCTTTTCGGTCTTTCTACAGCGCTACAAGAACAATGCCACGGTGACGATGCCTCCACTAAAGAAGCTACCAAGAAAAAAACCAGCTAATGTGGAGCCGGTGCTTCCGGAGAAGAAACGTTTGGAGATCTGCGCTTCTGTAGCCGTTTGTCAGTTTGTGTTGGTGCCTGTCAATTTTGAGGGAGTCCACTGGGGCTGCTTAGTGATCGAAGGCAGCTCGAAGGTGATTCATCTGTACGACAGCCTGAATTCTGCCAAGAACGTAAAAGTCTTGAAGGCATTACGAGCGAGGTTGCATCGGCAATGCAGGAAGTGTTCCAGGTGAATCACGTTAAAGAACCTGTTCAGGAAGATGGTGATAGTTGTGGAGTTCTTATGTGTCTCCACATGTGGAAGTGCGTGTCCAGCGAGGCGCCAAGTGATGTAACCTCTTCTGGCATTACGAAGTTACGTTGGGCAATGCTACTCGAAATTCTGAAGATCAAACGTCGTTCGTAGCTGCAGCATGTGTCGTGGTAAGAGGTAACTTGACAAATACATGGCATTTACCTGGCCAATACCTGGCTGCTGACGAGAAGATACCCATTTAAGCTCTTGACTCCCCGTGGGTTTGCCATGCCGACAAGACAAGTTCTTCATCACTTCGACTTTTGCCCAAGTAGCGCACACATGACTATTCCAGGTATCCAGGCTCTCGATACCTGCGTAATATTTGGACGGGAATTTATTTCATAAATTACCTGCCAGAAGTCGAAACCTGAAGGAGTACTGGACGTGAACCTGGGGATACCTGCATCTGAGTAAACCTAATCACTAAATAGATATCTGGGAAACCTGGACTCGAACGCCGTCCATTTAATAATATGTAAGCCGAGAAACTTAATTTAAAATTGAATGTTTGTGAGAACGGCACCCTTCGCGTCCAGGTTTTTCCAAACAGGGAATTTCCAGGTGTGCGTCCACGTATTTTCCAGTTGTAACTAAAACCGTTTTTCTTACCGTAATTTTTCTTTTGGCCTCAGCCACTCAGTTCCAGGGGGGAAGCGTGACACGTGGCGGACGGCTGGCAGCGCACCCGGAGGACACCGGAGCGCCCTCGGAAGACCCCACCATGGCACGAACGCACAAGACAGCGATGATCAAGGTGCAGATGGCGGAAGAGGCACGCAAGGAGGAGGACGCTCGCAGAATGGAGGCAGCCCGGCTCGCCGGTGTAATGGACGCTCGTACCCGCGCGGCGAGATCCCAAGCACGCCAGCGTGCTGATGAGATTCGTGGCCAGTTTGGCCCTCACGCTGTAGTCGACGAAGAAGCTAGTGCCAGCGAGGGAATGGATGGTGATTCAGCGGACGCTCTGGCGGAGGTACCAGGGCACGAAGAAGGTACCAAAGAATGTGTTTCTGAAGCGTCAAGATATTCGAAGGAGGGGCCGGCGGAGAAGGAGGAGGGTGAAGAAAGCCAGGCATCGGACCAAGAAACCCGGGAGGAGAATACTATGCAGACAAACAAAATGCGGCAGACAGGTGCGATCGGCAAGGCAAAACGAGTCTGCTTCGATGTAGAAGACGAGAGCTGTTCCACCCCCTCGGTCCAGCGTAACCGATCTGGGCGAACCTCGAGTGAGCTTTGAGCAGTACATGGATTCGACGCGCCAGAAGATTGTGATCAAAGAGTGATCCGAGTTTCGCGCCGTAATGCTGACTCCGTGCACAAGTACGCTACAATGGTCGCCCTGATTCTGAGATCCCGTTGGTGCCCGTAGAAATGGAACCGTTTCAGCGAATATATATCTGCACTCATGGCTGGCCGGAGCGTGAGCGATCGTCGGGTAAGAGGACTTCTCACACGCTGCGCCGCACAGAGTGTCCGTTCGAGATGCTGGCCCAGGTTTCGAAGAAGGACGATGGCACATGGTGCATCAAGATGAAGCGTGAGGTGTACTCTCATAACCATTTCGTCTCCGAGGAAGTTTACAGGTATTATCCAGGTATTCGCCAGGTTCCTGCTGATTCACCGCTTATGCCCGGGATTGAGTTGCTTGTGGATGCGCAAGCTGGAACCTCGAGTATTTACGACTACATTAGCAGCAACTCAAATCACTCTGTCACCATGGATGATGTTCGCAACTTGATAGCCAGGATGAAGAAGTCCGGTAAGTTATGCTAGTGTGTTATTGGGCGGGAAATGTTCTGACTAACTAAGAACTGTGTATCTATCTAGGTGTTGATCTTTCTGATGATGACGCTGTTGCAGAGATGATCTTGGACTTTAACCAGGAGTCACCAGCTAATGTGGCCACGGTGAACGAAAGTGCGCACGGCGACACCGGAGTGATATCGTTCTCGAGTGAGCACATGCGTGCGATGCAGGACAGCTTCCCAGAGGTGCTTCAGATGGACTGCACACACAAGACGAACAAGTGAGTTTCTTCATTGTATTTGGTGAAAAATGTTCCAGTTTTTTTCAGGTTTTTACCAGATATTAACAGGGTTTCTGTATAGATACAACCACCAGCTTCTGCGTATCGTTGCAATGGATCAATTTGGTCAAGGTCAGCCCGTCCAGTATTCGTTGATGGAGACAAACTCCGATTGGCACATGGCGAAAAGCTTGGATCATTTTAAACGAGCGAACGAGCATTGGCGTTTCGTGCGTATTGTCATTGTCGATAAGGACATGCAAGAAATCGATGTGATTCAAAAGAAGCTGCCGGAGGCTCGTGTTTTTTTGTGTCATTTCCATGTGATAAAGTGGCTCCATAATGTGATTCGCAACTCGAAGAAGTTTGGCACCTATGAAGAATCTGTTCTCACGCAGATAAAGCACATTATCACCAACATGACTTATGCAAGAACAACTGAGGACTACTGTCTACATCGCGACGAGGTCAAGAGCTTGGCTTGCAGGGATGGTCGCACAGAGCTGTGGGCGTACTTCGAAAAGAACTGGGATGCCGACGCTACCATGTGGGTGATGGCGCATCGAGTGGACTTGCCACACTTCAGCAATCACACGAACAATCGAGTTGAGAGTCTCTTTGGAAAACTGAAGCGCAATCTGAAAGGACATCATACGATGCGTGCTAGCCTGGCGATTTTGCTGGAGTTTCAACGCCGCAAGGAAGAAGGCTACCGGTCGAAGGTGGAGATGCCCGAGACGTTGCGAGATATTTCCTACTCTGAAGCGATGAATGTCGTCCTTGGAATGACGACACGTTGGGTGGCTGCGGCAATCAAAACTCAGTACGACATTTCGGTAGACAGAACACTTGCCGAACGCTACGCATTCAAAGCCAATGGTGCAACAATAACTGTACGGCACGGAGACCACGAATATCTCTTGGACAAGGAAGGCTGGACGTGTGACTGCGAGTTTTTCCAGACCATGAAGCTTCCGTGCAGGCATGCCATGACGTACAAAAAGTCGTGCGGCGACCCGTTCGGGGTACCTTTCGCCCCCATAGCACCCAGGTATTGTATAGGTTTGTCCAGGTTTTTCCAGGTTTTAATTATTGACATCACTGTTTTGTTGCTAGATGGGTTGGACAGAGCCGTCTACGGTTGCAGCAACTGTCCGAGGTTGCCGATCCATTTGTTGCAAAGATATTCAAGGCGAAGGGAAGCACTGCGACTGGGGCTTCTGGACTGAGTGAAGCAGAGAAATATCGCCGTGCCCAACAAGCGTTTGTACGAATTGGTGGTGAGCTTACGCGCTTTCCAGATGATCAGTTTGAGTCTGCATTAGAAGCAACGGAGACGTGGTAGTACAATTTGCGCCAAGGCCACATAACGGATGAGGAGGTAGTACAAACCAGACCCCACACGCCGGACAAAAGTGATGACGACAGGGGTAGTGCTTCGGGCTTTGGTGACAACAGTAACGATCCACCCAATACCACAGGGACGCCTAATGGTAGCAAGAACGAGTCAAATGAAAAGGACAATGATGAATACGTTGCTGAGTCTGCTACACAAGTAGCTAAATCTGGGACGCAAATGACAACCTCTGACTGCAATACAGCTTCGACAACCCCGCTTGTGAGATTATCAGGCAATGTCAGGCGAGTGGGACGACCCAAATTAAATCGCTCAGTGATGAAGGAAAAGGCACGAGTTGCGCACAAAGAGTACAATCATGGAATGAAACTCAGGGCACTGCTGCGTGAAAGCGACGTCTGTGATGTTGCTGCGAGCCTTCAAAACATTCTGCCACCTGGGGTCGTATCTGGCAACATACCAAGTCAAGTCGAGAACCAAAACGATTGTGATCAAATGGTCCGTTGATATGGAATACGCGCCAGATAGAGTCCGGTTTAGACTGGCGGAATCGGTTATTGATGACGCACTAGATCAGCTGAAACAGGGGCTCACAAGTGAGGAACATATTGACTTGAACAGTGACGGGAAAAAAATGGATAATGCGGCTTGTTACGTAGTAGCCATTGAAAAAGTTGGTCGCTTCACTCGAGAGCAGTTGGAGGCTATGAAGCTCTTGTGGAATATGCAAGCCGCGTGCAGGGAAGCAGTGTTATGTTGCTCCTGGCTTACCCGATCTGTAAAGGCTGCTGTGGACGATCCAGCCCCAGCGCAAACTGCAGTCGTGAAGCTACTGGAGTCTTGGCCTTATGCTGCAGTGAACGGATTCGGGTTTGACCTGACGTACAGTGACTTGTTTCGCTTCAGAGATTATTCCTGGCTGAACGATAACGCGCTGCGTGCGTTCACTGTGTATCTCGCGAGGTACAAGAATAACATCACTATGATGTTGCCCCCAACAGATGAGGAGAGTGGCGTTGGTGACAAAACACTCCGCTCTATTGTTAGAGGAGTCGAAGTGCAAGATTTCGCTCTTTTGCCTGTTAATCTTGGCGGTGTCCACTGGAGTGGTATAGTAATTGATCGAGCTGCCAAACAAGTCAAAGTGTACGACAGCATGAATGGCAAGAAGCACCGGAAATCGTTGCAAGTGCTAGCGGCGAAGATTTTCGTGAAGGCAACGAAGGATACAACTTACTCAGTCCTGGAAGTAGTGGACCCGATCCAGAAAGACAGCGACAGTTGTGGTATTTTCGTTTGCCGTTTCTTTTGGAGTTGTGTGAGCGATGCAGCTCCAAGTGACGTCTCGGCGAAAGGGTTGACGAAGCTGCGTTGGTCAATGCTGCACGCAATTTTGAAGATGAAGCGGAAGTAGTAAGCCAAAAGAAGAGCAACAGGTGGTCTAGCAGCTAACAAATAACAATACATGGACAATACCTGGGAGCCAACTGGTAAATACCTGGACTCACATTATGCATCTGGGACAGTGTCGGCGCCACAGGCGCCGACACTGTCCAGCTGCGCTCACTTTGGATTCTTCGCAAGTAGAGCACATATGTATTCCCCAGGTATTATCCCTAGACAATACCTGTGTTTGGGGCAATGCTCTGATTGGCTCCACTTCTATCTGCAACGCTATACTGCCGTCACTTTGACTTTTGCTCAAGTCTCGCACACATGCTTTTTCCAGGGTTTTCCTACTGGAGAATACCTGGTCGCGTAATATATCCGCTCGGAATATATTACGCGCGACTGATTCCACTCTGTATAAGGAAACCTGGAAGAAACATGGGGGTATCCCTGGACAGTACGTGGAGAATCAGAAATCTGAGTATTTTCGAAATCTGGAAAACCTGGACGGTCGTCCTTGTGAAAACCACGAAAAAAGACATAAAACCTGAGAGGTACTAATACATGTATTTCATTTATTAGTTACAATACCTGCAGGGTATTACTGTAGTAATACCGTATACTGTATTCGGAATATGATAGCTGTACCTACACGCTGGACACTATGAGGACAATGTTGATTCTGGACTGTGGCGTTAAGGTGGACACGTCGACGATTACCCGGCACCTGAAGGGCATGCTGTTTATCGTAAACCAAGTGAGGGTCGAGCCCACAACGTGTAATAGCGATAGCAACATTGAGAGACGACGTCTGTTCGCCGTGAAATTAAAGGAGCATCAAGACGCAGGTAGCTTTGGCGCGAGTCGAGCAGAGCCTATCGTTTAGGCGCGAACCAGTCTCGCAAATCTTGTACGAGGTTGATTGCAGTTTTTTCAACATTGAATACTGATTAGCGGCTCCTACCGTAATTTTCCTATTTGCCAATTTTTAAGTTACGAGTTTGACTGCCGTTTTCTACGAGGTTGAGTGCACAAAGGTGTAGTAGTCCGCGTATTTTCTCCCACTGCAGCGAGTTAACATCCAGCAACTGCCACCGAAATTCCAGCGGTTTGGACGCCGTTCGGTGACCAAGATACCCCAGCCGACCGCTGTAGATATAAGGGCCCTGCAGCCACAAGCTCAGTCAGCATTAAAAATCAGCCATGCAATATTGTCAGTAGCTGGAGGTATCGTACCTGCGTGTGTCTAAGGAAAAGCAGCAATGGTTCCTCTTTCATCTCACTCTGCTTGTCGTAGTACGTTTCATCAAACCTCAAGCGCTCGTCTCCTCTCTTCGTTCTCCTCAACCTCATCACCAACGGTGACTCATCGTGCCATCTATTCTGCCCAAACCACTGGAAATGCACTGCACTGCCTCCGTCCACCTTGTCGTGATGAAACACATTTTCATAGGGGGACACGCTTTCAACATTTACAAACAACGCGATCGCATTCTTCCACGGCTGTACGCCACTCATCTTGGAAAACTTGGCCACATATCCCGGTGGACACAAGCCCTGCATGACTGTCTGCTTGCCTACTGGCAGCAGTTGCGTTCCTAGACATCGTCCATGGAATTCGTCTAGTTGGATGTCGATCTGAGAACTCGAGAGGTGCAATTTCTTGCCCTTATTAAGGAGCGACAGCTGCGTGACTGGCAAGTCAAAAGGCTCAGGAGGTTCCGTCTTCATTTTCTTGACTTTAGGAGGCAGTGGATCTAGCGCTAGCATTGTTTCGGGCTCGGTGTCAATTGGAACTGTATCATTGACTCGTTGCTGGCGCTGACGCAGCGACCCCCTCACGGGGTGCAAGCGTTCTACCTCTTTCTTCTTGCGGATAGCCGGGAGAGAGCGCTGAGGAATGTTGGGTACATTTAACGCCTGCAGTTGCTGCTGGTTCGCTTCGATGCGTCGCTGGCGCTTGGCCTCATATTCACATAGCTCCATTACCACTCAGAATATGTATACTACGTATACTTCTGCAGCCATTTCTATTAAGTTTAATTAGAAGCGCTGCTGTGTTTCTATAATACCCACAACAACATGAGTTCCAAGACCAAGCCGCCAAACAAGGCGCGACGCGCACTGCTCCGTCTTCGCAACTACGTGGCCTCACACAGTCTCTCGTTATGGTGCGTACCAGCTGTGATATTTTCTCCTCTTATCGAACCGATATGTTTGCAGTATTTAACGTATCCATAGAGATATAGCCTTGTGATCCTAACACTAGTTTACTTCCATTTTCCTCTTGTATCAGCTGGGGAACATACGTGTTGGGCCTTATTTGGCTTTTTCTGCATCCCGCCATCACCGTCACTACTGGTACTACCCAGTTAAGCTCCTAAAACCTCGACAACCTTGCTAAACTGACTCCGAACTTCCATTTTGATGCCGCAACAGGCGAATTAAAGTGCCGCGGGACCTACATGTCCGAGAACGCACTGCTAATTGACCTAATGGAGGCACGAGCTAGTCATCAGGAAGCGCATTCGGCCCGAAAATTTCACCAGAAGCTGCTAGAGCTGCCTGACTTGCCTTCTAATGGCTGCCGGGCCAATTGCTCGCACGTCGTGGACTGGATCGACGCGCAACTGCGCAGTCTGGACCGTGTTGAAGCCTACAGTCAAGTTTTCCAGACGGATGAGGCGTCATCGCCCCGTACGAACGTCTACGGCATCCTCAGGGCCTCTCCGCTGGCTGATGGCAAGGTATGCTGCTCTGTTGTACTGTGTACCGTGTAATTACTGAAAGTTATTGTGTTTTTTAGGAAGCAATTGTGCTTGTCACACACTACCGAAACGTGGGTGCAGACAGCGGCGAGAACACGGGGCTCTCACTGGGCTTAGCTCTACTCAAGTACCTTTCGAGGGCGAAATGGCTGGCTAAAGATGTGATTCTCCTCGCTGCAGACGGTGAGCTGACCAGAATGTTTGCTACACATTGAGAATTTTCTAATTTCTATTGTAAATTTGTGAATTTTAGATGGCAAGCTGGATGGAAGCGATGGGTACGCTCCTGGCACTGAAGCCTGGGTACAAGCGTACCATCTGGACCCTATAGACAGCGGTCTGCAGGGTGTTCTACCAATGAGAGCTGGCGTCATTCGGGCTGCCGTCAACCTGGAGACTTTGTACGACTCACGTCAAGTGGATTCCGTCGGGATTTACACGGCTGGGATGAACGGCCAGCTGCCCAACTTGGACCTCGTCAACACCGCTGTACGCGCACTCCGTCAGCACCAAATTCCTACGATTTTGGACCGATCTGACGTCCAGCATGACGGTGCACACAAGAGCGTTGTGGCAAGTGCGCTAGGGTTCGTCTCGAGTTTGAACGACAAGTTTTCCCCACCGGAATACAAGGAAAAGACTCGAAGCTACCTGACGAACCTCAAGGGAATGCTGCACTTCATGACGACGCTGGCGACGGGGCCCTCGGGTCCTCACGCCAACTTCATCAGCTACAATATCGACAGTATCACGCTGTCCTTGACACAGAGTCAGGCCTCAACAAAACGTCCACTTGTCTCCCGGGACATTCTGCGCTCGATGGAGATGGTGATTCGAGCTCTGAGCAATGTGGAAGAGAAGCTGCACCAGTCGTTCTTCCTCTACGTCCTGCCCAGCACGTCGACTTTTGTATCGGTGGGCGAGTACATCTACGCTGTGCTTCTGGTGATCTCGCCGGCGATCGCGCACTTGCTGTACTTGGCGAATCAGACGACTGGGATGCGAGTTGCGCTGGCACTGACGGTATTCCTGGCGGTCGAAGCCCTTTGTGTGCTTGGTCTCATTGCGATCTGCAAGTATTTCGCCACTTCTACTGCGCTGCTGCAGACATTTAACTCCAGTGACACGTCCGCTACGAGGTGGTTTATGCTGGCGATGGGGATATCTGCGACTCAGGCTTTGATTGTACTGGTGGCCATGCCGGCGCTGCGTTCTGTGTCGGGCTTTTCGGGCTGTGTGGAGATATTCGACTGGAGGAAGAGGGTTACGACGTATGAAGCGAAAGAGCAGAGGAAGGTTTCACCAGACAAGGAAATGGAGAAGACGGTCGAGGATACGGACGTCCCAGCGCTGGATTCAGGCTGGCGTGCGATCAAATTCGTTACTATGGCGGTGATTGTGTACGTGAAGTTTTTGAGTACTTGGAAATAAGTTGATGGAGGTTTTGAACGACTCACTTTTTCTGTGAAACAGATACGCACACTGCATTCTGGGCATCTTAAATTATCCGATGGCTCTCTTCTGCGCCATCCCGATGGCCCATTTCGCCCGCGTGGTCCCTTTTGGCACTGCGACGTTGCCCAGGAATGTTGGGAATGGCTTGTGGCTCTTTTTGTCGTCCCCACTGACTCTCTTTGTGTTGCTGAACTGGAGTGGTCTAGGTACGATTCGTATTTCTAATGTCTTTCGATTTTTCGGACTAAAGCTGTGTGTATTTTGTGTGTCTACAGATGTGGTCGCTGGTTTGTCATATACCGTCGACAGCTTCGCTCAGCGGATCAACCTGCTGGCTTTAGCGTATTTCTGCTGCATCTACGTCTCCGTCCACACTTTGTCCTTAGTGGTTTGGACATATCTGAGCATCGATAAAAAACAAAAGCTGGAATGATAAAAAAAAATGAGAAACAGCCACAGCAAAAATGAATTATTGCGTAACTTAGTATTGGACCTCCCTGTTGATATCAATAGCGCTTCGACCTTTCAGAAGAAGGAAAATGTCAACCACGTCGCCCATCGATGCGCTTTCGAGTCCACCAGCGACTGCACCAATGGCAAACGGTAGCAAAGAGCCCAACAAACCTTTCGAGATCCGCGCTGAGCTGTTGGCATCCACTCGATTGGCCCCAAAGACTCAGCTACTTTATCACACACGATCGCTGTCGATCCAAGTCATCGCCCATGAAGTTTTCCTGCTGATCCTCGCGTGCACCAAGTGCTTTGCCGCTGCAAACAGAGAACCGCCTCTAATCGGGATTCTAGGAGGTGGCAATGTCGGAACCACAGTCCTCATGACGCTCTTGGCCAACGGATACCGAGCTGACCGCATGGCGTTGTCCACGCGTCAACCAGATCGCATCCCTCGATGTGAAGCGCTGAAAGCTCCTTCAGCTCTGCCGATGTTTCAGCTAGTGCCTCGATACTACGACAACGCTCGTCTCGCTCGAGAGAGCGATATCTTGATATTGTGCATGCCACCGTCACAGTTGAAGAGCGTAACTATTCAAATTCGACACGCACTGGCTGCAAACGCAGACGCCCCGCCACTTGTGGTCAGTGCGTTATGTGGTGTCACTCATCATACTCTGAGCAAAGCCTGTGGGTCCCAAGCGGTCGTGCGAGTGCAGCCGGACGTGGTGAAGATCGCGAGTCAATGGCGTGACCAACACAAAGAGAATGGCGAAGAAGAGGAAGAAACCGTCTGTGTGCCCCGTAGTCGAGTGCAGGTGTCAACAAGTTTATCGCAGAACTTGTCGGAGTATCAACAAGGCGTGGCGGATCGAGATCAACAGCCTCTATCTCTTCGTCTAGCAGCTGAAGCAATCGGTAAGCATTTTTATTTATGTTTCAATGTTTTGAGTATATTCTACCTGGAACTGATATTCATGACTTCCCATTATTTTAGCACCGCAAAGAGAAGATGTGCGAAACCTAGTAGAGGCGTTTTGCTTGCTTTGCCGTCGCGCGTGGGGAGATGAAATGAGCCCAGCTGTATTAGGACACGTGCTCTTTGGCGACAAAAGTGCAATGGTCTTGGCTGACCTTGAACGAGAGCCACTCGACTCTAAGAAGCAGCACGTCGAAAACACCAATGTCCCATTGGTTGTATCTAGCTGGCCATTAGAATGGGAACACGATCTGACCGATCTTCAGAAACAACTAGCGGTGCATACTCTACAGCACTCAAAATAAAAGAGTGATATGGATGTAGATGCTGCGATTTACATGTAGACCACATTTGCATTGGAAGTCGAGTCAACGACGTACTGCATTTCCGTACATCCAGAAAATGTATACATGTACATTCTTACGGGCAGCCAGTTTTGGCTGAAAGCTCAATGTGGTTCAAATTGCGATCTTAGGTCATCCTATTAACTATAAAACATGCGCTTCAAAGGGCGAGCGCACGTCAGAGTGACGGTGGCCACTGAAACCAGAGTTTTACTCTGTAAGACAGGGTTTACGCGATTGTGCGAAATGTCCAGCAAGGCGCCACATTAACATTCTCAATTTTGGAGTTCAAAATGTGTAGTTTAAACAAACGTTCCAAGCTCCACGGTACCAACAGCCTAAACGTATCTAGGATAAAAATACCACTTCAAAAGCAATCTCGACTTTACGAAGGTCTTTCGCTTCTTCCGACCTTCAGAAGGAAGAGATTATCATACATGTATGTCGACGAACTACCATATTACGGACACTGATTACGAGCTTGTTTTGTACGCTACCGCAAAAAAAATTCTTGCCACACCGGTTTTTTTTCAAAGTGCTGAGTACGTGCCGGACGACTCATGCGTTGCTCATGTGTTATTGCTGTCATGGTTGTATCGACCATTTTTGTTAACGCATTCATAAATAAATGCGAAGCTTTGGAGGTTGCTACCACCCACACAAAAACAGATGAGAAGAGTTTACTCAAAAGCTATGGGAAAAGTGATTTGGTTACCGAGGACGCTACCGTCGAGGAAGAGCGCGTCGATCTCAAGAACCTCTTACGACATCGCAGCTGCTCTTGTAAACCACGACCAACGAACAGAGTTGTTCGTAAAGTGGATGAAAGATAAAGAGACGACGGATGCTGTTGTTGCGAAGCTGATGGATAGGGAAACGAGACTACAGAACATGCCGATCCTCACACAGTTCAACGATGTCAGATCATCTCGGGCTTTCAGAAAACAACTGACTGACTGGCTCGACACGCAAACCCTCGACGAGGTATCCACCGCACTAAAAGCGTTCAAGTTGGAACCGATGAAAAATCAATTTACCGCGTGGTACAAGAGCGGTATAACTCCGGAGCAGTTTAGTGCGGGATTAAACAAAAAAGCGGACGAAAAGAAACGAAAGAGCTACGGCGCGCTCGAAAGCCACTACAAAAAATATGTAGATATGGAAGTAAATAAAGCAAAAAGGCTCTTAAAAAGCCTTGATATGTTGTAGAGCACTTTATTTGAAATTACGTATTGACGCAGTACTTAAGTACATACATTATTTCATCCCAGTACGTACTACTTCTTTTTTTGAAGTATTAATACTCACGCAGTACTACCAGGATAACTTTTTTTCAAGGCAACAATACGGTAAGTTAATTTAGACCGGTCCAAACCGGTATTTGTCCAGTATTTGCTTACTACAATAAGTTAATTTAAACCGGCCAAAACCGGTATTTGTCCAGCATTTGCATACTATCAGATAAGGAAAAAAAAGAGGTGTCCTTTCGTGTTGATATTGCCATTTCGCTGACATGAAGCTCACTAAACCCGGGTAGTAGCAGTACACCTAGAATAGATCTTACTTTCGAGCTGCCCTAGTACTCATGAAAACATAAATCGCTGCTGTAACGACAATCTACACATGCACTTTGATCGAAGTGAGATGGTTTTCGAGTGCAAATTTAAGAAAAGATCTAGTCCGCTAACAGCTTATAGTAGCCATTGCTCAACTTGGCAGATCGGTTTAGTGCAGGTTGCGGCTGAGGCCTTTACTGTCGTGATAATGTTTTTGGGACTCTGCAGCTTGTGGTACCTTCGTTATACCTACGCTGTTACTCAACATATAACAGTACTTGAATGAGGATTAAAACGCTATAAATACTGAAATCCAGGTGTTATGTGATACTCATTGGCCGGGTGAGTGTTTCTTAGTAAGTGCTATCTCATACTTGGACTAATTACGGAAAAAATCTAACTATTTAAAAAATAGGTTCATGTATATCTACGCTTTTTCCTCACGTGATAGTATTTGAACTCGACGCTTTCCGTTTCGCGCAGAAATTGGTTGCACTCAATAAGCGACAAAGTGCATTCGAAAACCATTCCTGTCTAATTTGTGCTATCCAATCGGCTTGCTGGGGTTACCGCCGGTAGCCGTAGCTTACCGGGACAGCAAAAAAATTGCGGTATCTTGGACACGAACTGTATTTCGGAGTATTACGGGAACACACTGATTACGAAAAATTATCTCCCACCAATTCCTCCACAACCAACTCACTTTCTCTTCATCACAGTGCATCGAACAAACGCGAACTAGTCATGAGTGTGTGCTACATCGTCCCCTCGCTCGTTTTCATCGTAGCTTTAAGCTTCATGACGAGTTCCTGTGAGGCAAAAACGACGGTCCATATTTACGCGGGACAGATCAAAAAGCGACACCTGAGAAGTTACGGCGTGGGTGATGTCGACATGAAGGACAAGACCAGTGGCGAAGAGCGGGCGGGAAGCATTGACCCGAAAACTATTGCCGACCTCTTACAAGCGGACGACATCGTATCTGCTCTAAAAAGCCACGGCAAACTAGATGTGTTGTTCGCGCGGTTGGCTCAAGATGAGAATGCGGCGAAGGAAATCGTTTCCAAACTATCCGCAAATGGCAAGATTATCGAAAACATGTCGATTATCGATAAACTCAACAATGCAAGAACATCGGTAAATTTCAACCAAAAGCTCACGGACTGGCTCGACACGAAGACCTTGGACGAGTTAGTATCAGCGCTGCGAGCTTTTAGGTCGGAAACGATGACGCATCAATTCAGGGAGTGGTATTATACGATCGGGAAAACCCCAGAAGACTTAAGTGCGGCGATCGCGACTATAAAAAACGAAAACAAACGGAAGGGATTCGGTGCGCTCGCTTTCCACTTCAAAATGTTCGTCCAAAGGGAGGAGAATAACGCCAAAATGGCAGCCGAGAATGCGGCAGCTATTTAGACGGGCTTATGAAATAAAGCGACCATTATTAAACAAGCATATAGCAAAACCGTGCGTCTGCGCGGAACAGCTTGGCTTTTTAAGCTACCACTAATGGTACATCGCCGACACAAGTTTTAGAGCAAAGTCACCTGAAGCGGTGATGCAAAGAGACGTTATGCTGAGATGTTCTTATAGTTCTTCCACCATCTATCATCAATAAGGGTTTTCACATAGCTTTCGGAGCCATTCCTTAATCTTTAAGAATGCCATCCCGTCCAGAGAAGTATGGACATATGTACCACCGCTCAACTTCCTTTGCTAGTAAGTTTCGAAATGAAAAAAGACGTGCCTCAGTAATTCTCGAGCTCTCATTTTGCAGTATGGATGTGGATATTGCTGCAGTAATAAAGCAGAAGCCCATGCTCAATAATAACCGCGGACCGCATAAGACAGCAAATAAAAGTATTTTACCGATAGTTTGATGATAGCTTGCCCCAGCTGACAGCAACGTAGGATATTAGCAAATAAATTCCCCGGGCCAAGGCTGAATTTGATAATCAGCAACGCTTATTAAGAGAGCGTTAATAAAACCCAGTGAAACGAACAAAATAAAACGAGACGCAGCCCCATCAGCAATGCATAAAACAGTTCGGTTGGTTCAACCGATAATCGAACGTGAAATTTAACGGCAAAACATAGGCTCACAATCGCAAATACGAGCAGTAGTTTCTTTGTTATAAGGCACATGTTATTTGCTCACATGTTGCACGCCCTTTAAATGACTTCTGATCTGGCTGAGGTATCATACATATACAAGTACAGATAGTTTAGTACGGTTAAATTGGAGTAAAGGTAGGACACTAGCGCGTTTGCAGTCGTCTGCGGATTTATAGCCGTGGGCACGCCCCTCTTCGCTTGCTGCGCTGCGCGGCCTGCCCCACCCCGGCCACTAAGTCCTCGACTCAACAAGGCGCTGTGTCTGAGATTAGAAATTAATACGAGCGAGTATTGCCAAGACCGTCGGCTAAGTCAGGTTGAATAGATAGTTGGTTTGGTGTGAGAGCTTCAGTACTAATTGGTGTATCAATGCTTCCAGCAGTATTGCAGTCCTGTAAATGCTAGCAGTGTGGCATTTCAAGTAGTATTGATCAATGCCAATACTTGAAATAAATGTTTACCCATAACCGAATATCGGAATCCATTTAGACTATACGTTATGGCGTTTCAGCGATTTTTTTTGTTCGCGTCTATTCGCTGCCACAAGGCTGCGGCAGAACAAAGTTCCACTCGGTGCTGGCTTAGGAGAGGGCGTGATAATCACAGACAAAAATGGTCATTTCACAGAGGGTGCGTCAATTTCACAGATCGTATGTAACCTTCACAGGACATGCCTCCTTTTCACAGACCGAGGATCCCATCTGAAAAAAAAAACCTAAACTAGTAATAAAAAGGAAGTCACAATCCAACATTCACCGCAGTGTTATACATACCGATAATCGAGATCGTGGTTTGTGCTGCTCTCACCTGCGGTTGCCTCCTGCACCTTGCCGAAGGTGCGGGACTGTCAGCAAGGGCACCGCTATTAATAAGTCTTCGCCAACCAGTAGAAGACTTTCGACCTCTAGGACGTCGCATGCGAAGACCAGACGGTGTAGTTTTGCAGAATGTTCGTTGTCTTCCGCCGCCATATGAGATACATGCTCCGAAGTGTTCCAAGTTTGCCATATGAGATACATGCTCCGAAGTGTTCCAAGTTTGCAATACAATCGATTCGGAACCTACTGATAGCAAGAAAACGCTATACTACCTAGATACATCAGTATTCAAATATGAGGCCGATTTAGATCCTTGGGTATTACGAAGTAATTAATAAATGCGTATAACGACTATTTATAAATAAAGATGTTTTGTGTGTCGTTACGAAACGATTATTTACAAAGTCCTTGTATACTGACACCAAGTAGCAATCTGCCTGTAGTCAGTAGTATAGTGGCAGCAAGTACAATTCTGCCGGCAGATATACGCGCACTGTGGCTAGCATAGTGAGACCCAGTACAAATCTGCCGGCACCTTTGACGGACACTTTGACTGGTATACTGACACCAAGTAGCAATCTGCCTGTAGTCAGTAGTATAGTGGCAGCAAGTACAATTCTGCCGGCAGATATACGCGCACTGCAGCTAGCATAGTAGGACCCAGTACAAATCTTTTAATCTAATACATTTTCTGTATTTGTAGTTGCCCGTGTGGATTAGAGATGCTGGAATTAATAGTTCTGCCTGGAATTTTATGAAGTTGACAAAATGTGTAATATTAATAGTATATAAATAATTCAAATGGGAAGTTTGTTAATGTCATCTTTCTCCAAATTCTAATTTATCATTGATATCTCAGCATTTCCATATGTGATTTGAGAACACAGGGTACCTTTCCATGCGCTCTGTGAAAACAACGTCCTCTCTGTGATTTGACGATTTCCATCTGTGAAAAAGTATTTTTATCCTGGCTTAGGCTCGTTCTCAGCCGGGCGCTTCGCACGGCATCGCATCGCTCACTTCTGTACCGTGCGCCGCATCGGTTGAGAATGATCTGTGCGACGCGGTAAAACCAGCTGCATAAAAATCGCACCTAACAGAGGTAAGTGATCCTTCCATACGGAAAATTCCACTTCCAGAACGCCCCCTCGGGCAAGCAACCAAGACGCGCACGGTGGGTTCCCATTAATGAATTGAGTTATATAAGTGTTAAGCTGACGCTCTCTGTGAAGAATGTCTTCGTTTACCAATGTCCCTAGCGAGTCAGCTCGAAAGCCCCAGCAGGGCGTCCAGCGACACTCTTTGAGCCAAATTCTCGAGCTTTCGTCACATTCAGTGTGCTCTGCGGCTCCTTCACTTGCCCCTACGCATCCAGAGACCGCTACGTATGCTGGTTTTCACAGTGGAGAAGCACAGCAGCCTCTTGGAGTATCGTTTTTTCACCCACCCAGCTCAGAGTCGTTCCAGTCTCTCGTGGCACGGTCTCAGATCTTGATAAATGTGATGAATCTGAAGAGGAAAAGAGCTGCAACAATGGTGTCTCTGTCGACTACTCGTCATGAAAGGCAGACGAAGTTAGAAAGGAGTGCACTCGTAGAGGACTTAAGGTGAAGGGGAATCTCAAGATAATAAGGACCACGTATACGCTTTAACTGCTCACACAGCGACCGTTGAAGGAAAGCTACTGAAGCATTCCTTCCACCAGGAGCTCGGCACGCCAAAGCCGTAAAACTGCATTGATGATTGGCACTAGCGTGTACATATAATCCATAGCGTTGATAGTGCCCCGAAAAAAAAGCGACCACACGACCACATTCACTGCGGCGTGGAACGCGAATCGGACACAGCCATCCATCAATGGCTCCAATACAACCCGTAATTGCCCTTCCTCCACTAATCGTGCGAAACCCAGCAGCGGCAGCATTCATTTCTCCATCGGTGCACGGGAAATGTTGAGCTAAACGAGGCAAGTGTTGATAGCACGTAGCACAGCATGTATAATACGGTAGGAACCAGCTCGGCTAGTACCTGTTATGACTCGAATATGATATTAGCTACCACCAGCTAACCAAGAGATACACGACTGCAGCATTCCAGCGGGCGAAACCGGAGGCTCGCCAAGGGCTCTTCAAGCCGATTGAACAGGATCTACTGATAAGTCCGAACCCACCAATACTAACCAACGCTCAAATACAGCCATGCTCATTCGATAATACTGTTTAAATTCCCCTTCCAAAACCAAACGTTCAGCATGAGAATTCCAACACATCCGCTCGCGTACTACATTCATTTCACTTTCACATTCCACAGCGCTCTCCATAATGATCACTAGTGTAAGAACAATAACTGAGCAGAAAACTTCGTCTTCAGCCCGACGAAAGGAGGCCATGGAAGTCGGTTAGCGAACTGACAGCAAAATTAAAGTCTGAAGGGAAAGCCTTAATATGGTAAGATGTTGAGGTTAAAGAGATGATAAGATTGAGAAGACTGCATGCTTCTATTTGGAGGATTTCCCGTGCGACCCAATTTGCTCTGATGCGATCATATTTTTACATGTGACGAATTCGTCGCATTGACGCCTTTTATATTATCTTTTACATGCGACCACCTTCCGCTTTAACCAATCATAAGAGAGAATTTGTTCGCATGCGACGATTAAACTCGGTTGATAATGGGCCTTAGTACATTAATGTCGCGTGTGGATTCGGTGGTCACGTGCTAGGACCAGCTGAGGGTGGGTGGTTTTAGTGCTAGATCCGCCGGATCCAGCAGGATCTTGGCCTCTCCACCAATCAGCGCCGCGGATTTGTCCTGCCGTCCGGCGGGAACTGGAGTGGGACATCCTGCCAAAACAGGTGGGATGCCGGAACATTCGGCATCCTGCAGACTGCACATCTCCCCGCAGGCAGGACGAGGGCCTCGTCGAGGCGGCTCGATTTTCGCAGTCTCCAAACTGACTTCCAAGAGTTCAAGCGGATGGACAAGGTCATTATCGATCTCGTCAATGTGTTCCCTGCAGACGGCAAGGATGGGGCTTTGCGTGCACTTCTCGAGCCAAACCGCTCGAAGCAGTTGCGCTCCGCGTGTGTTAAGCTGAAGCATAACCCGCAACGCCGCTCGTCCGCCGTGGACAACAAGGCCGGCTACATCGACCTACTGTGCAAGTATCGTTCGAATAAAGCGGAAGGGGAGTTCGCCGCGCTCATAGGGCCTAGCAAGGAAGGAGAAACTAAGGCAGATGACCCGGAGACGTCGCAGCGTGAGCCTCGCGTGGAGCGGCATGATGCTTTTCGATTGATAAATGTTTTGTTTAGCCCCCAATTTGTTGATCGCATGTTTGAGGCGGACCGAAACCAAGACAGAGCGAACGTCGACAAGCACTCCATCAACGAAAACAGCCAGTATTGGTTGGATGTAGCTCGGGCTTACAACGAGGACAGGGAGAATTACAATGGTTTGGAGCAGAAGGAGCGGCCAAGCCAC